CCCGACGATATCACATGCAAATGACCTCAAGTCCTTTTGGGAGAGAAGGTGAGTTATAAATACACAGGCAAATACAGAAACCAACTCCTAACAAAAGCCTCTTTGAGAAGAAAGATATTTATAGACAATTATTTACAGGATTTGCTATCAACCTACTTCTCTGAGTACTTCACATTTATTCTTGCTTCACTCTGACCGCCAGCCTCTTTCAGAATCAGCATCTCTGAGTTGTGTTTCAATATTCTGCTCTTTTTTAAGTTGTGGCAAAATTGCCATAATATGTACCATCATAACCATTCATAAGTGTATGATTCAATGACATTAAATACATTCACTCTGTTGTTTAACCATCACCACTATCCTCATGCAAGGCTTTTTTTTTTTTTTTAATCCCCAACAAAAAGCCATACCTATAAAACAACCCTTTCCCCTCTTCCCCCAGCCTCTGGTAACTTCTGTTCTACCTTCCATTCCTCTGGAATTTACCTATTCTAGGTACCTCATAAAAGTGGAATTACACGATATGTGTCCTTCTGTCTGGCTTATTTCATTAAGTATGATGTTTTCAAGGTGCATCCATATATCAAAATTCTTTTTATGGTTCAGTGGTACACCATCGTACCTTGTGTTCATCCACCCATCTGTTGATGAACACTTGGGTCGTTTCCACCTCTTGGCTATTGTAACACTGCAACAAACAGGGTGCACTATATCTGAGTATCTGCTTTCTTTTGAATCTGTGCCCTAAGAGTGAAATTGCTGGGTCATATGGTAGCTCTCTGTTTAGCCTTTTGAGAAACTGCCAAACTGCTTTTCATTCTGCTTTTATTTTTTTAAGAATTTTATTTACATTCAAGTTAGTTCACATATAGTGCATTATTAGTTTGGGGGTAGAATTTAGTTCTGCTCCAATTTTTCAATCAAAGATCTCAGACAATAGGCGCATGAAATACTCAATTGCATTTTCAGGAAAATGTTTGTTTGTGAACCTGGCCCACTCTTCTATCCAATGCTGCCTACGCAAAATCCCAAGGGGAAACTTTTTTGAGGATTAGAAACTGGGATAGATGGGAGTGGATGCTCCCCTTTTTCCCTGATAACTGGGAGTGGATGCTCCCCTTTTTCCCTGATAATAAGAATTCTAGTATGGGTCCTGACTCTGCCATGGAGCTTGCAACCAAATTTCAAGCCTGACTAGTCATTGTGGATGCCCTGCCACACCCCTTGGGATCCCCTTTACCATTTCTGGGCACTCCCGCCTGACTTCGGATGGCCAGTGTGTTTATATCTTTGCCAGAGGACTGCCCTTGGGCTGTCCATGGAAAAAACAGACAAACAAAACCAGGCCAGAAGTACAGATTTATCCCGTTATCTGTGAGTTTGCTTTATGCCACTTTGCTTTTATGAAAGACCTACACGAGTACGTGCAATTGCTAATGGAAATAAATCTGAGGATTTTTACTTTCAGGAGATGGTACTTGGTTCATCCTACACGCCATTTCAGTTTATGAAAGCTTCCATAGAAACACTCTACTTTTGGGTGGCAGGGGAAATCTGTACCTGAAAATTATCCTCGTGCTTCCCCTGCTCTCCAAGCAGCTTTGAACCAACTCCTGACAGCTGTGGGTGTATAAACACCACAGCCTCCTTACCTGGGGATAATTCTGGGTCATGAGCTTTGTGTTGCTTCAAGCCTCCACTTGGGACTAAGTACCAGTCGCTCACTATGGTTCCTCCCTAATGGCAGACCCTGTGATGACTTACTTCCCTTTCTGTATCAGTCTTCCTGCACTTGCCTGCATCCCTTGCACCTGCCAATCAACTCAAATTCTCAGCACAGGGTCTGCTTCTTTTTTTTTTTTTTTTTTAATTTTTTTTATTTATTTATGATAGTCACACAGAATGAGAGAGAGAGAGAGAGGCAGAGACACAGGCAGAGGGAGAAGCAGGCTCCATGCACCGGGAGCCTGACGTGGGATTCGATCCCGGGTCTCCAGGATCGCGCCCTGGGCCAAAGGCAGGCGCCAAACCGCTGCGCCACCCAGGGATCCCACAGGGTCTGCTTCTAAGGGGACCTAAACAAAGACAGAGCTCCTCTCTAGCAACTTCCTAGGTCCATTTGCTTTCCACATTTCTGTTCTTCTTTTCCCTGGTTCTGAAGTTGTTGTTTTTTAAAGATTTTATTTATTTATTCATGAGAGACACAGAGAGAGAGACAGAGACATAGGCAGAGGGATAAGCAGGCTCTCTGATGGGAGCCTGATGTGGGACTCAATCCCAGGACCCTGGGATCATGATCTGAGCCAAAGACAGACGCTCAGCCACTGAGCCACCCAGGTGTCCCTGGTTCTGAAGTTTTATTCACATTTTTTCCATTGTTTTACCAGATGCTTTCTTGTTGTCTATTACTTCAAAGTCTTTGAAGAATAAAGCACAGCGGAACTATTTTAGACAAGAAACATCATGTACCTCTTACACCTAAAATACAAAATACAAGGTTTATTGAAGATGATCCCAATTTTTAAAAAATACATATGTATGTGTGTGTATGCACAGGAAAAAAGAATAGAAAGAAATGTACCAGCGTGTTAACAATGATTAATCTGGGGTGATGTCCCTGCAGATGGCTTCCTTTTTTTTCTTCTTTTTACGTTATTTTACAAAGAACGTGAAGCTTTAGCTTCGTCTATAAAATGAGGATAATCATACCTACCTCACAGAGTTGTGTCGATCGAAATTAAGTGTAGATGTAACACAGTAATTTGCTGCATCGCATATTCACATAATAATCACAGTATGTGCCTAATATGTATCCTAATAAAGGGGAGTGAGTGCCATAATTACAACAGCAATTAATGAAACAATTTAGAAGGAAATGTTAGAATTGGGAAAGTAAAAATAAGCCTGTGCTTTGTACTTTGTAAAGAACATTCACTTACATGAGCTCATTATACCTCGAGAACCCTGCAGGAGGAGCAGGCTCAGGGGGAGGGAGCAGGCAGGAGACTGAGCCAATATTTACCGAACAGCTAATATGTGCCAAGGCCAAGGTGGCCACCTTGTAGACATCTCAGGTGAGAAGGGTTGAGAAACCTGCCCAAGCTACAGAGCCAGGACCAGTAGCCCCACCTCCAGACTGTGGGTCCAGGATTCCTTCCTCTCCAACAGGCTGCATTAATACAGCCCCGCCCCGAAAGCCCCTGTTCCTACCTGCCCCCCCCCCCAGGCGTTCTCCGTTCCCAAGGCACCAACATTCCCCAGTCCACACATACAAGCTGCTCCTTCCTGCCTCCACGTCCGTGGGGAGTACCAAGGGGTGGCTTGTGCTGGGGGAGTGGATTCAGCTCCCCAAATCTCCCACCAAGACCAACCCCAAGTGAATCATCAGTCTGAATAGAAACACTGTAGAGCCAGCGATGCAGATACAGGGTCAAGGTCAGCTCCACAGCAGCGCTTCTCCAATACGCTGTTCGCCCCAAGTCCTCCCTACACAGCAATTCTAGAACCATCTTTGGAGACAAAGGAGTTGACACAGTGGGGGTGTGGGGTGGAGGGAATTCTGCGGAGATAGCCCAGCGGAGACTGTGGGCTGGGAGGGAGAACAGTGATGGGCTTTACCCCCGCCCCCCGCCCCCCCATCCCTCTCCGGGCCTGGAGCTCTAATCAGCAGGAAGAGCGCTTCTGTAACTGTGAGGCCATAAGGGCCTGTGGGTGGGCAGGGACCTGGATGGATGGGGGGTGGCACAAGTGCTTCAGACAGAGCCCGTGCATCCCTAATGGGACCAATCCTCCCTGCGCTGCCTCCTACTCTTCAGCTGAAGCCTCGGGCTCCTAGACTAACCTTGGGAAATCTTTCTGGACTAATCACTCTCCTGGCAGACTGTCAACCTAAGACAGCCATGCGTGGGAGCTTCAAGCAAGTTTGCCTTGTCACCCTGCCTCCCTGACAAGCTCTCCTCCCAACCCGCTGTGCCCTGCGGGCCTGTTGCACTGCCTGGGCTCTGGCACTGGGCAGCTACTCCCTCTCGGCAGCTACTCCCTTTGGGGGTCGTCCTTCAAAGCCCCTCCTCTGCTTCAGCTCTTTCCTTCCCTCAGAATCTCCACAGCAGCACCTTCCCCAACCCCCTTCCCACTTGATCATGCTTCAGAGGGGAACAGTCATTAGAGGTGAAGCACAAAGACTCCCAACATTTTCCTTCTGCTGCAAATAAAGCTATCATCGACTGCAGGGGGGGGGCACACTCTTGATCAAAAACTCTCCATGGCCCCCAATTCCTCTAGGTAAGCCTTAGCTCCTTAGTTTGGCAGTAAGGGTCCCCCATCATGCCCTAAGCCGGGAGACCGACTTAGCCTTCTGTTCCCCATTCCATATACACCAGGTAGCTGGGGGGGGGCACCCCTAAATGAAAATCTCTCCTGCTCTAGAGTGCAACACACTCTAGTTCCCAAGCCACACCTAGCACTCACTCTTCAACCCAAAGGTCACCCCCTCCTTTCTTCCTGGTGGGAGACTGTTTCCATTCTCATTAGCCCTTTTGCCCCCCCCTTCCCATTTGGTGTTCCAGCGGATTCTTCTCTCTTGTAAGGCTGACGTCACAGACAGTCTTAAAATTCGCGCCTCCCCCTCTCACCGTTGCCTCCTGCACGGGGCTAAGTCAATACACGTTTATGGGTTCCTGTTCCAATCGGTAAGCTTTCTCCCTAAAGTTTCACGAACCCCAGGTCCGTCTCCTTACCTAGACGGAAAGTCCTCGAAAGCGATTTTAAGGCTCAATGAAGGCCCCCCCGAGTGCGTTCCCGGGCGGGCCGGCACCTGGGCTAGCTGCAGGGGCGGCGGCCCGAGGAGCGGGGAGGCAGCTCCACCTGTTGATGGGGCGGAGGCTCGCCGGGCCGGGCCGGGCCGGGCCGGGGCGGGGCGGGGCGCGGGGGCGCGAGGCCGAGGAGCCACCTGCCCGGGCCCCGCCGCGGCCGCCCCCCGCCCGCCCGCGGCGCGCACTCACCTATGGTGGACACGACGGTGCCCACGAAGTAGAAGGCGCCGGTGAAGTCCCAGCGCGGGCGGGCGCTGTCCACGCGGATGCCGGCCTCCGTGGCCTCCTCGTAGTGGCGGAGGAAGCCGCGCAGCTCGTCGCGGCTCAGGTTGTGGCGGCGGCTGAAGTTGGCCAGACGCTCCTCCCAGCGCTGCTTGGCCTGGCGCTCGTGCGCCAGCTCCAGCGCCGAGAAGACGGCGGCGCCGCCCAGCAGGTAGAGCACGATGAGCGCGGCGAGCAGCAGGAAGCGCGCGTTGTCCTCGTTCAGGTGGCCCGGGCCGCAGCTGCAGCCGCACCCCCGGCCCGCCATGGCCCGGCCCCCGCCCCCGCCGCCCCCCGGGGTCGCCGCTCAGCCCGCCCCCGGGCGCCCGACGGCCCGCTCGCCCATGACCGCGGCGCGCTGCCCAGGCCGCTCGGCTCCCCGGGCCGCCGCCTCGCCTCGCGGTTTCGAATCCTCCTCGTCGCCGCCGTCCCGCCCCCGCCGCCCCGAGTCGTCCGCGCACGGGGGCCGCCGCTCCTCCGACGCGCGAGGACGCCGCCGCCGTGCCCGCCCCGCTGCCCTCCCGGCTCCGCGCAGATCGGGGAGGGGGCGTGGCACGTCCTCGGCGCGAAATTGGGGCGGACTCGAGTTTCCCCCCCACGCGCGGGTCTTCCGGCCTCGGAAGGCGGCGGGCGAGCGGCGCCCGGCGGGCTCGGGGGCTCGGGGGCTCGGACCCGCGGCTCGCACGCCGCCGACGGCTACGGGGCGCGGGGCGTCCCCGTGCAGGCGCGGCAGCTGCGGCCACGTGGGTCGGTGGTGCCCGGCGCCCGGCGCGCGCAGCCTCGGGCCCCCGGGGTCACCCGCCCGGCTGCCGGGGCGCGGGGACGCGAGCGGGTCCCGGGCGGGCGCGCCCCGACCGGCTGGAGGAGAAAGCGACACAGGCGTGAGGACTGGAACGAGGCCATTTGGGGGCCTCCCCGCCGGGCCTTGCCCCCTGGCCTTGCCCCAACCGGAACGCCCAGCGCTCGGGTCCTGCGCGGGGCGGGTGCGCGGCGCGGCCCCCGGGAGGCGCGGCCGAGGAGAGGTCCGTCTCCTCCGGGGCGTGCGCTCGGAGACTCTGCGCTGCCAGGACGCGGCGCAGGGCGCTTGCCGGCCCCACCGCAGGCGGACCCGCGGCCGGGCTCCTCAGCAGATGGCCAGGGCTCCCTCCCTCCCCAGGACCTCGCCTTTCAGGGGCGCTGGCACGGCCTCTGGGCGCCACTCTCACGTCCCCCGGGAGCGCCCCCTCCGCGCGCATCTGCCGGCGCCGTCCCCGGGCCCCCTCCTGCCGGGGCGCTGGAGCGCTCCGAGGCTGCAACAGGTGGAGCCCCGCGGCTGCCGGCGGCAGCGACCCCGCCCCGCCCCGCCCCCAGCCCCCCGGCCGCGCGGGGCCCTCCCCGCGCTCTTCTCCGCCCGCGGAAGCCGCCTCTCGGCGGGCCCACCGGGGGCTGCGGCGCTCCGGGGGCCCCCCGCTGGGCCAGGAGAGGGCGCTCCGGCTCCTCCAGACGCGGCTGCCCCCGCCTGGGTTCCGCGCCCCGCGGCCCCCGGAGTCACCGCCCCGGGCAGTGGGAGTGACTGGACAGCGAGGGGGGCGCGCGGGGGCATCTCCGCACCAAGGCGAGGCTCCCGCATCCCGGAGCGTAGTCCCAGGCTCAGCGCCCCGCACCCCCGGCCCCCCGACACTCGCGGGAGCGGAGCGCGGGGCAACCACCGTGGACTCCCGCGCCCCCGCGTCACCCCCCGCAGTGGGGCAGTGGGGGCCAGAGCTCCGGGAGGGAGTGTGGGGACACACGCTGCACGCCCCGGGCGAGGCCAGCCGCTATGCCCCTCCCCCATCTTCTGATGAAAAATCTCAGACATAAAGTTGAGAGAACGTTATATACTCAGCACCTAGATTCCACCACGGACGTTTCACTCTATTTGCTTTATTTATTCATTTTTCTCCATTTGCTGTATTACATGCTTATCCACTCCCCGTTCCATCTCTCAGCTATTCGGGTGCGTTTCAGAGTCGGTTGTAGACATCAGTCCGTCTCCCTCCCCAGTACGTTTCCCTACATCTCATTAACGAGAGTTCAATATTTCCAGATTTTTTTTTTCTTTTGGGGGTAAGACAGTGAAATGCACGAATCTTAACTGCCATTAGATGAGTTCTGACAAATGAGTACACCTGTGCAAATTCAACACCTACCTACGCAGCCTACCAGCCACATATCACCAACAGGGCAGTGTTCCCCATCTCTTGTCAGCAAACACCCACCCACATTCGTCCAGAGGAAATCACTGTTCTAACTTTTTTTTTCCCTACCGCTCCCATCAACTGGTTTTGCCTTCATAGAACTTAGTTTTGCTTGTTCTAGATCTTCATGTAAATGGAATCCTACCGTTCTATCCTTTACTGTAAAGCTTTTTTCTTTTTCTTTTTTTTTTTTGAGATCTATCCATGATCTACGGCTTGGTCATTTATTCCTTTTTGTTAGAATTTTTTGGCTACCATAAAACTGTTTAGGAACATTCTTGTACAAATTCTTGTGGAACTATTTTCATATCTCAGGTAAATACTGAGGAGTGGAACTGCTGGGGTCATGGGGGAGGTGTGTATTTAGTTTTAAATGAAACTGCTTAACATTTTTCTAGAGTAGCTGTAACCAATCAACAATGGACCATAAATAGTTCCATATCCTTGTAAATATTTGGAGGTATCAGTCATTGTGATTTTTTTTATTAAAGTATTTTTTTTTAAAGATTATTTGAGAGAACAGGAAGGAGGAGAGAAAGGACAGAGGGGGAAGGGCGGGGAGGGAAAGGGGAAGGGTGGACGGGGGTGGTAAGGGGTGTTGAGGGGCAGGGGAGAAGCACACTCCCTGCTGAGCAGGAGCGGAGCTCCCATCCTAGGATCCTGGGATCCTGACCTGAGCCAAAGGCAGATACTCAACCAACTGAGCCACCCAGGTGCCCCAAGTGATTTTGTTTTTACTGAAGTTCGATTTGCCAACATATAACACCCAGTGCTCATCCAATTAAGTGCCCACATCAGTGCCCCTCACCCACATACCCCATCCCACCACCCACCTCCCCTTCCACAACCCTTTGTCCGTTTCCCAGTTTTAGGAGTTTCTCATGGTGTGTCTCCCTCTCTAACTTTTCCCATTCAGTTCCCCTCCTTTCCCTTATAATCCCTTTCACTATTTCTTATATTCCCCATATGAGTGAAACCCTATGATGATGGGCCTTCTCCGATGGACTTACTATTGGGGCATAATACCCTCCAGTTCCATCCACGTTGAAGCAAATTACATATGGGTATTCATCCTTTCTGATGGCTGCATAATATTCCATTTCCCCAACATTCTGATGGGTGTGTTGTGCTATCTCATTGTGTTTTAATTTGCATTTCCCTGCTTTCTTAATGTGCTGTGGCCATTTGTTTATCTGCCTTTGTAAATTATCTGTTGAATATTATTGTTGAAATTATCTCTTGAAATATGGGATCAAATGTTTAAAGATTGATTTTTCTTTTTTATTATTGAAGTTTGGGATTCTTTATATGTATCTAGGAGATAAATCCTTTCTCCGATACCTACCTTGCAAATATTTTCTCTCAGTCTCTGGCTTGCCTATTTATTTCCTTCATGATGTTTTCCAGTGGTATGTTTTTCATTGTGGTGAAGTCCAAATTATCAATCATTTCTTTTATGTTTGGTGCACGTTTTATATTAAGAAACCATTACTTCCCTCAAGAAAGGGAAAACATTGGTTTCGTGGGGGTTTTTCTCTCCCTAGAAATTTTAGTTTTGGCTTTTATATTTGGGTTATAATCCATTTTAAGTTTGTTTCTGTATGGCATGAGGTAAGATCATTCTATGTGGATAACCAGTAATTCCAGTGCTATTTGCTAAAAACAAAAAACAAAAAAGTGAATTTATTTCAGGAATCTGAATCTTGTTCAGATTTGTGCTAATTCCACAGTATTTCGATTACTTGTAATTTTATATTAGGTCATGAAATCAGGACATGTGAGCCCTTCCAACCTTGCTCTTCTTTGTCAAGGTTTTCTTTAGGCATTACAAGACCTTTACATTTTCACAAAAATTATAAAATCAGCTTGTTAATTTCATCTTCATTAGATTTGGATCTAATTAGATCTTCATTAGAGTTGTGTTGAAACTATTCTGGAGAGAACGACCTCTTAATTCATGAATGGGGTCTATTCCTCCATTCATGTCAGTCTTTCTGATAAGTTCTCATGTAGAAGCCTTGCACATCTTTTTTTTTTTAAGATTTTATTATTTATTCATGAGAGACACAGAAAGAGAGAGAGAGGCAGAGACACACAGGCAGAGGGAGAAGCAGGCTCCATGCAGGGAGCCCGAGGTGGGACTCGATCCGCAACTCCAGGATCACGCCCTGAGCCGAAGGCAGATGCTCAACCTCTGAGCCACCCAGGTGTCCCTCTTGCACATCTTTTGTAAATTCCTTGTATTTTAGGTGTTTTGATGCTATTGTTAATCTGAAGATTTCATTTTCCAACTGCCTACTGTAGTATATAAAAATTTTATGAACTAACCTGGTCCCTGTAACCTTAGTAAATTCACTTGTAGTAGTTAATTCCTTTAGGATTTTCTGTATAATCATGTCATTTGAAATAGAGTTTTGCTTCTTCCTGATATGTATTTTTTTTTATTTTTAAAAGATTTTATTCATGAGAGACACAGAGAGAGAGGCAGAGACACAAGCAGAGGGAGAAGCAGGCTCCATGCAGGGAGCCCGAAGTGGGACTAGATCCCGGGTCTCTCTGAAGGCGGCGCTAACCCTCTGAGCCACCCGGGCTGCCCTTTCCTGGGTTCTTATAGTGTTCACTTAAGTCACTGATTGTAGACATTTCCTCTTTTCTAATGTTAGCATTTTAAAGCTGTATTTCTGTTATCCCTGTGCTAGCTGCATTCTAAATATTTTAGTATGTTATATTTTCATACAGTTTTAGAATGTTGTATTTTCATATATCTTTATTCAAAATATTTTTAAATTTTTTCTTCTGACCCATGAATTATTTAGAAGTGTGTTGTTTCATTTCCAAATATCTGGTTTTTTAAGACAGATCACTTATTTCTAATATTTTCACTGTGGTCAGAGAACCATATTCAATCAATGTGACTTTCTAAGTTTGAGACTTGTTTTATGGTCCAGCATGTGATCTATCTTCATGAACATACCATATGCACTTGATTATGTATTCTGCACATTTGTTGGGTGTAGTGTAAACTCTATAAATGTCAATTAGGTCAAGGTAGTTGACTGTGTTTTTCAGATCTCCTGTCTTTACTGATGTTTGTTCTAGTGATTCTATTGGTTTATGTAAGAAGAGTGTTAAAATCACCAACCATGAGGCACCTGGGTGGCTCGATGGGTTAAGCATCTGAGTCCAGCTCAGGTCATGATCTTAGGGTTCTGGGATCAAGCCCCAGCTCCCTGCTCAGAGGGGGTGGGTGAAGGGGTGGGTTCTGCTTGTCCCTCTGACCCCTTTTGCCCCCATGCCCAAGCTCTCTCTCTCTCGAATAAATTCAAAATCTTCTTTAAAAAATCACCAACCATTATTATGGAATTATCTATTTCCTTTAATTATGTCAATTTTTATTTCATACACTTTGAAGCTGTTATTAAGTATGATTATTACATCTTCCCAATGTAGTAGCCCTTTTATTTTTATAAAATATCCTTACCTCTGGTAATACACTTTATATTCATGTTTACTTTATCTGATAATCTTTAAGTTACCACAGGCTTTTTTGTTTTTTTAAGATTTTATTCATTCATGAGAGACACAGAGAGAGAGGCAGAGACATAGGCAGAGGGAGAAGGGAGAGAAGCAGGCTCATCGCAAGGAGCCTGATGTGGGACTTAATCCGAGGACCCCGGGATCACAACCTGAGCCAAAGACAGATGCTCAAACGCTGAGCCACCCAGCGTCCCACCACAGGCTTTTTGTATTTAACATTTGCATGGTATCTTTTCCATTTACTTTTAGTTTGTGCTCTGGTTGGTTGTTTGGTTTGATTTGATTTTTGGTCAGGTCTGACAATCTGTACATTTTAACTGGATTGATCAGATCAACACTGTTCAATAGAATTTCTGCAATAATGGAAATATTTTGTAAATATTTGTGCTGTTTGATATACTAGTATAATATGGTGACTATTAAGCTCTTGTGTGCCACTGAGGAACTAAATTTGTAATTAAATGTTAATAATTTGAAGTTGAAATGTCACACGTCTCTAGTGGCTATCATCTTAGACAACAAAGGTTGAAACCCTTTATATTTAATGTAGTTACTTAAGGGACTGGATTCAAGTCTACCATCTTACTATTTGTTTTGTTTGTCCCCACTGGCTTTTGATCCTCCTTTCCCATCTTCTTTTGGATTAACTGAGTATTTTTTTAGAATTCCATTTTAGCTCTATATCTTGAAATTTTTAAAGTGTTATTAGCTTTTCACAGCCCTTTAAGAGTTACTACTGTGTGTCTTTGTGTAGAATATATAAACTTTGCAACTACATGGGTTCATTTCCCATCCTCCTCTCCACAAATACTATGGTTGTCATTCAAATCACATTTCCATATGCTAAAACCCCACAATACAATTTTTTGTTGTTTAAATAGCCATATGTTTTTATGCAAAAAATCAGGTTTTATTTTTACTTATTCTTACATTGGTCAGAACTGATGTCAGGAACTTAAAACTTTCGTTTTCTACCTTTTAGATGAACAAAAATACAACATGGCTTTATCATTAGACAAGAGTTGCTTTTTCACCTTTTACACAAGAATGTATATTATCCTTTCTTGAACAAAATGCCCAGATTACCAAGGAAACCATCTTTGGGGGAAGTGTTTAATAGACATATTTTATTTAAATAAATCCTCCAGTAGGAAATGGGAGAATTCATTGCCTTTACTTAGAAGGAGGCTGTGTAAGTAGTTACCTGTCACATTTCTCTGTGCAGCTCACCAACATTTCCTTATTGGAAACATCAATTTTTCCACATCACAGTTCCCAAAATGACTGTAAAGTCTCAAAATTCTGTATCTCATTTGGCTTCTATCTTGATCGCACCCAGGCTTTATTAATGGTTCACTTCATGTCATCATCTCCATCTTCGTAAATTTTCTTTAGAACATTCATTAGTCTCTCACTAGGATCTGTTTCAGTGTCATAGGAGGGCATTTCTTTCTCTTGGCATTCTTTTTCAACCCAAGTCGGGTAATTCCGCGGTGTGTTTTCTGCTTTCTTTCTCTATAAGGTGAGAACTGTATCTGTTTGACTTCTTTTTGAATTGCCTTCCACAGAGCTGGGTTTCAAGAGACGGTTCACAATCATGGAGTAACTCTTCTCATTTATATTCTTTACCAAAAAGATCAAATGACCTTTTTGTGAAATGCACCTGCACAGAGGAGTTGATGAACTCCAGTTAAGTTTGTGAAAGTCTGTATTACCTTATCTGATGGATCCCATCCCTATCGATTTTTAAGGTATATCCTGTTCTGATGGGAGCAAACAGCAGATTTTGTCAAGAAGTTCTGCTTCTTTCTGTGATTTCTGCATCATGTTCTTTTTTTTTTTTTTTTTTTTTTTTTTTTTTATGATAGTCACACACAGAGAGAGAGAGAGGCAGAGACACAGGCAGAGGGAGAAGCAGGCTCCATGCACCGGGAGCCCGACGTGGGACTCGATCCCGGGTCTCCAGGATCGCGCCCTGGGCCAAAGGCAGGCGCCAAACCGCTGCGCCACCCAGGGATCCCTGCTGCATCATGTTCTTAATTTCTGTCTCAATCTTGGAGTTTTCAAATATTTTTTTTAATTTTTATTTATTTATGATAGTCACAGAGAGAGAGAGAGAGGCAGAGACATAGGCAGAGGGAGAAGCAGGCTCCATGCGCTGGGAGCCCGACGTGGGATTCGATCCCGAGTCTCCAGGATCGCGCCCTGGGCCAAAGGCAGGCGCCAAACCGCTGCGCCACCCAGGGATCCCCAATCTTGGAGTTTTCAGCTAGCCTTTTCGAGTGGTCTTTTCCAGCAGCACCTTCACCTCTTCTAGATTCTTCTGTAGCTTCCAACCACCCTCTGCAGTGGAGTGACCCTAGGTTTCTGCAGTCAGCATTGATTTAAAGAAGCTTCCTGTCCTCAGGCTAGCATAGCAGAGCCAATGAGGCCTCTACCAAAGCTGAAGCCATGGTAGGGCTGGGTCAGGCAAGGCCCCAGCCAAGAACAGGAAGCCATGCACCTAGCGCATTCACCGGGGCAAAGACAATACCTGCTCCATTGCAGCACCCCAAGCCTGTGTGAACACCCACCAGGCACAAAGCCTGGCCCATCTCCACCTCTGCTATATAGATTTCTTAAGAGAAAGTCGTTTATATCTGTGCAGATATTTGCTCCTTCTGATAGCTTTCTTTCCTTCCTGAATATTTGAGCTTCTCTCTGCTAAGTTCTTCCTTCAACATGAAGAATGTCCTTTCCTTTAGCATTTCTGGCAGCGCAGATCTGCAAATTCTCTTAGTTTTCTTTTACCTGATAATATGGTTATCTTCATTCTTGAAGGATGTTTCCAGTGGATATAGATTTCTGCGGTGACCTTTCTTCTTTGCATGTGAAAGACCTTTTGTGCTGTCTTCTGATGAGGTCAGCAGTCATTCAAATCATTGCTCCTGTTCCCTCTAGCTGTTTTCAAGATTTTTGTCTTTAAGTTTGGTCATCAGGAGTTTGACTAGGAGGCACCCAGTGGGGTTTTCTTTGTGTTACCCTGTCGCTTATTCACTGAGCTGCTTATATCTGTAAATTTATGTCTCACCACATTTTTAGCCATTATTTCTTTAAATATTTTTTCTGCCCCATACTTACTCATCTCCTAGGAGGTCAATCGCAGTTTTCTTTTTTTTAAAGATTTATCTATTCATGAGACAGAGAGAGGCAGAGACACAGGGAGAGGGAGAAGCAGGCTCCATGCAGGGAGCCTGATGTGGGACTCGATCCTGGATCCTGGGATCACACTTTGAGCCAAAGGCAGACACTGAACCGCGGAGCTACCCAGGTTGTTACCCAATCACACAGATGTTAAACCTTGAATTCCCACCCCATCCCCAGTGTTTAGTGTTTTGGATTGGATCATTTCTATCTGTTTACCTTCAAGTTCTCTGACTCCTCAGTCATCTCCGGTCTGCTACTAAGCCCATCTACTGAAGCCTTTTAATTTCAGATTGTGAGATAGTAGAAAATACACATATTGGTTCATGCCCCCAGTTCCTGATACAGAGCTCTTGAAACCCTTGTAAATTCCTAAGTGGTAACAGTACTAGGAACACCTTATGTTCTACAGGAGTGACTCTGGGGTTGAGGGGCAGAGGGGCGGTTCCTGGATTGGGGCTGGTTACCAGAAAGACCCAACTATGATTAGAAACTTGAAATTTTCAGCCCCTTCTCCTCATTCTCCAGAGAGGGGAGGAGGCTGGAAACGGAATTTATGATTGATCATGCCTCTGTGAGGAAGCCTCCATTAAACCTCAAAAGTGCAGGATTTGAGGAGCTTCCAGGTTGGTGAACACATGCACACTGGAAGGGTTATGCACTCTAACTCACGGGGACAGATGCTCCTATGCTCAGGACCCTCCCAGACCTCACCCCACGTATTTCTTTGCCTGGTCACTCGTCTGTATCATTGCTTTAACCAACTGGTCATGTTTCCCCCGAGCTCTGTGAGCTGCTCCAGGAAATTAATCAAACCTGAGGGGTAATGGGAACCTCGGATTTATAGCAGATGGGTCAGAAGCACAGGTGATAACCTGGACTTGTAACTGGCACCTGAAGGCCGGGGGTGTGTGGGGGGGCTAGGTCTTGAGAGACCTTTACCTGTGGGATCTGACGCGATCTCCAGGCAGATTGTGTTAATGTAAATTGTAGGACACCCAGCTGGGGTCTCAGGATTGCTTGCCATGGCAAAAAACCCCACACATCTGGTGACCAGAAGTGTGTTGAGTGTGGTGGTCACATGAGAGTACAGGAGGCACACAGAGGAGGGAGAAACTGTCCACACCCCACCCCGAATACATAGGCATTAGATTTTTCAGTTCTAAAATTGCCATTCAATTCTTTAAAAAGAATTTTTACTACTCTGCTGAGATTTGCTTTCTATTCAAAATAAGAATTTAGGACGCCTGGGTTGCTCAGTGGTTAGCGTCTGCCTTCGGCCAGGGCGTGATCCCGGGGTCCTGGGATTGAGTCCCACATTGGGCTCCCCACAGGGAACCTGCTTCTCCCTCTGCCTAGGTCTCTGCTCCTCTCTGTCTCTCTCATGAATAAGATCTTTAAAAAAAAGAAAAGAATTTGGTGGGGGGAGCACCTGCCTGGCTCAGTTGATTAAACGACTGCCTTTGGCTCAGGTCATGATCCCAGAGTCCCAGAATGGGACACAGTGGGTCCTCTGCTTCTCCTCCTGCCCCTCCCCATCCTGTGCTCTGTCACTCTCTAATAAAAATCTTATTATTTTTTTTTATACTCTTGAACACAATTTTATTAGCTTTAATTAAACACTCTTTGGAGGTTCTTTTGGCTTCCTTTGCTTGTCTTTTGAGAACAAGCCATGTCTTTCTCTTTATTTGTATATTGGGTAATTTTGGATTATATCCTAAATGTGTAACTGATACATAATTTATGATGTGTTGTAGAAACTGAATTCTGTTCCTTCATGCTCAGACACCATGGCTGCTCCAAACCCTGTACTCAATCTTCTAGCCAGTAAGCCGAGAAAGATTTCCACTGGAGGTTTCATGGTGCTGATGGAGACCTGACCTCAGGCCCAAAGTGGTGACACAGAAACAAAATCAGGAAACTCCCCTCATGTGGTGCCTTCCTTCCAGTTGACGACTCCCGTTCAGTTTTTGCCTGCTTCCGGTAGCTGGTTTTTAAAGACTTTTCTCCCAGAGCTTATATTTTTTATTTGTGAAAGAGTTGGTTCAACTGGAGCTCTTTGACCCAGCCAGAAACCTAAAGTTATTTGGTTTCTCCCACATTATAAAATGAAATTTTCAAACATACACACCAAAGGTAAAATAATTTTAAAGTGGTGGCCTGGATTGTAAAGTTTTCCTATACTTCACTATAACTCTATCCAATGATACACCTTATTTCCATGCAATTCAGAATAAACCGCAGCCGTTACTGCTTCTCCCTAAACTTACTTCGGTCGTATGTATAATTAACTAGAATTCAACAATTTAGTTTTCTTCTTTTAATGTAAAATTTACACACAATGAGGGGGTAGCTGAACTGTGCATTCTTTGAGTTTTAAAAAATCAACTTAGAGCTATAATTTACAAGAAAAGTTAACCAATTTGGTGTATCAACTCAAGGGGTTTTGTAATCGTGACAGAAACATTCTATTGCCCCCAAAATTCCCGCATGCAGCCAATCCCCTCTCCTCACTCCTGAACTTATTTTTAAGGCCACCTAGTTCTACACTTTGAACGGGGGCCAGGGTGCCACTCCATGAATAGGAATTAGAGACCAGGGAGAGAGGCCATCCACTGCCAAGTGTGACCCAGACGCCAGAGAAGAGAATAATGGTGAGGAACCAGGGCTCAGGCTGTCGGTAGAAAGGTGTTGAGCGGCTCAATGAGACCACTCTCCTACCTAAAGGCAGATTTTGCCCATCTCAGCACAATTAGAGATGCTCATCTCTTGAGCCTGTTCTGGTAGCAGAGGAGTTCAGGAGGCAGGAGCTTGCTAGTGTGATCTTCAAGAATGCAACCTTAGGCAGGTTCCCATACCTCCTGCAGCCTGTTTTTTTTTATTTTTTATTTTTTATTTGTAAAATGGACTTCCTCCAGGGATGAAGTGTCAACTCACCCTTTGGGGTCACATTAGCAAGGATTCCGCAGTCTTACCCAACAGGCAGCAGGCAATGTGGATCTGGTACTTAGAGGACTGGAGGTCTGCACGTCAGTTCTACGGAGTTCTTTAGAATGTCTGAGAGATGGTCCAGGGAGGCAGATTTCCTTGTGAACGGAGTCCCCTGCTGCTGCCAGGGCTCAAATCTACCTATCTTCCAGAAGTAACTTGTATCTAGTTAATTAGAAGCAATATTTGTAGAAAAATGCTAAATTTTCCAAAGGTGTGGGCTTGATTTTCTGCATTTGAATTACCATCCTGAGTGCCCCAGAGGGTGACTGCCAATCCCAAGCACTTTTGAGAATGAGAGTCATTACAACTTAGATTTATGGAATTCTTGCCAACGTTTAAAAGCACCCTTTCATTTGATTCCTAGAACAACTGTACGAGGCAGGAAGGATAGGTATTAGGCCCCACTTAACAAATGAGAAAATGAAGACTTAAAGGCATCACGTGACTTGCCTAAGGTCTCATGGTGGGGATGGCACAGAGCTAGGATCAGACAATTCTGAGTCCTGAGTGGCTTGGAGCTGAGTCACGGTTCAGGCTTGTCAACCTCAAGCCCTTATCCACAGAACTGTCTCCACTCAGTGAGGTAGAACTAACAAACCGGGGAAAGAATACATTTTATGTTGTTACCCTGAAGGCACTCATAAATGTGTAAATTGAAAAAATTACTTCACTTGGTGCTACAGATATTTTCAGATTTTCTACTAGATTTCATTGAAAACTGCTGGCCCTGACTCCCTAAATTGATTTCATGATTTATTAAAATGTTGACCGGCAGTTTTTAGAAAACTCAGGTTACAAGGATTTATTTATGCAAATTTATGAGAAACTTGGACTTAAAATTTTTCCTTCTTTAACTTTTCCTTTTAAATAAAATCTGCACACTTGCACACACTATTGAAGGATGAGGCATTAAAAGGTTCCCCTAGCACGCACGCTATTGGTGCCTCACCTAGAGAGACTTCCTGCTCTGGAGTGCCCATCAGGCATTTTCCACTGGTCTTTGGTGAGCTCCACAACTGCACCCCTCGCCAGGGGCAGTCCCTTAACCTGGCATGCTTGCACCAGGGATGGACATGTGACCCAACCTGGCCCATCCAGTGTATCTGGGCACTTTCGCTGTAACTATTGGGAAAAAAAATTTTTTTTTTTTTTTAAATAACTACCTGGAAATAATGTGGGATCCTGGGATGAGAAAGGGTGTGGGGGTATTTCAGCTTCCAGGTGGAGAAAGCTTGCTTGAGAATGATCTCCATATTCCTGAAAGCAGATATTCCAGATCTGGAGAGAGACTGTTACATTACAATCATCTGGCTCCAGCATTTGCTAGACTCCGTTAAAGTCTTTTGCTGTTTAAGCCTAATTAATCTGGCTTCTGTAGCTATAAAAGCATCCTAATGCATTCTTTCATAAAAATATTGATAAAGTACAGAATAACAAATATTTAGGGCCTTTAAACTTTAGTAATGTCAATTATCTGAAGAAAACAAAATCTGCATTCAGCTACCATGTTAATTTCTAAAGCACCTGTGAGCGAAGAGCTACCGAGGGCATGCGCAGTGGCATCAACTGTGCCCTTGGGGCTGGAAGGGAAAACTTGCTAGTTAGGACCTTGAATTTTATTTTACCCTTCCTATCAGATGAGGTATCGTCTGCCCCATGCTGTGATGCGTATAATTACATATGGTTGATTATACCTGTAATAGATTCCCTATGGCTGCAATTTTTCCCTTGCCTTTCCCTTCTTTATGTGTATCAAAGACTCCAGTTCTTATTGAGAGTGGAGTGCTCTGAGAACTTTGCTACACAGGGACCAAGGAACAGTGCCTTAGACTGATTAGGGTTGGTTAGACTAGTTTCAGAGGGCTTCTGGTAGGCCTAAGAGCACAGGAAGCACTTGAGATACAGCAATTCAATTATCCATTGAGATGGACTTGCTGAGAACTCTGAAGTACGGATGTGGCCTTTAGCATTGCGTGGTCTCCGTGTCTGCCTGCTACCCCTCCTTACGTTACTGCACTAGACAATCTTCTTTCATCTCATGAGCTGCCTCATATCCTCCTCCCCCCAGCATTTTCTATGCTACCTTCTCTTTTGACACTTGGCATAATCCCTTCTGCAGTTTTAGATAAAGTCTTTGTGGGTGGCCTGGGTGGCTCAGTGCTTTAGCACGGCCTTCAGCCCAGGGCGTGATCCTGGAGTCCCGGGATTGAGTCCCACATCAGGCTCCCTGCATGGAGCCTCTTCTCCCTCTGTGTCTCTCATGAATAAATACAAAATAAAATCTTTAGATCAAGTCTGTGGGAACAGCAGGTTTCAGTCAGGGAAGTTAAGAGAACATTCTTAATGTGGCCATGCTTTTAGCTCTCCATGCTCTCACTTGAGAGGAACCAGTTTCATGGTCAGGTTCGGGCTTTAATCACCCAGTGACTCAGACCCACATACAAATGCAGCATTTGGTGGTTGATTTTGTGCATGCATAGCTGGTTTGGGCATGCCAAACATGATTTGCTGTTACAGGGGATGAATGTGTACCTGGTTTTGTAGCTATCATTACATATCCTGTATATGAGGCCTGCTGGAGCCTGGGAACATCTGCCACATGTGCTGCCTGGGTTCGATTCCCAGTACTGCCCCTTGCCAGCGTGTGACTTCGGACAAACAACCTTCATTTCCCCATTTATAAAGTGGCTAAGAGCATTGGGTTATGATGAAGATTTGGTTAATACATAAACAGTATCTGGCACACATGAAGTGCTCTGTACTTGCTGGTCAATGTTATTACTCAGGGACCAGTAGAGAGTCTGGGCTCAGATGGTCACCTGCCTTCACACTGGGCACTAGTTGTGGGCACTGCTGGCATTTCCCAGGAGCAAATAGCTGCACATTACCCTTAAGACCTGTAAGAGCCACCCAAGACCTGTAACTTACTAGCTGCTAAAAATGCAGTAAGAAATTGTAGTTTTGTTTGTAGTACTTTTTCATCCAGGATATTGCTTGGAAAAAAGTGGGTTCCTAAACTTGGAAAATTTGTTAATTTTATCATAATAGGATCTATGCATACATGTAAAGATAGCACATTATCAACAGAATTTTATATTTAATCCTACACAATATTTAAGCTATTTGTCATTGAGTTCCTGCACTTTTGCAGTCATACTTTGTCATTATAATGAACATCATTCATCTACATTCATCTATCAATACAATTACTGTATTTTATGGATGTAAATAAAGAATGCCTTTCTAACATTTTTCTTTGAGGTATTTGTCAAAAGCAAGGATTTTCAAGGAAGGGTTTGGTTACAGCTCTGATTCTTCAGTTATGAGAAAGTAAAACGTCCTAAGATTTGAATCAAACATCTAGATAATCCAAAAATGGTTTCACCGCAGACTAATAAGGCATTTACCTAGAGAGTAATTTATGTGGAAAACAGCTGCAACAAAGTGAAATCCAAGATTATTTTCAGCGTGCCAAACTGGATGCAGAAACCATATGCATTGGGAGTCACATATTAGTAACTTACTATTAGGAACTGTTTAACTTCTACACAAGAATCCAGGAAACAAAGGTGGGCTCACGGTCACTATGGAACCTTATGGATGTTTAACAGAAGGCCAATGTGAGGATTAAATGTAAAGCACTTAAGCATAGGAGCTGGAGATGTAGGAAGAGCTCAGGAAACACTGGCTATTATGTGGAAAAATACAGCCTCCCGAATCAGTGAATTTTAAGGCCAATTTGCATCAACTATAGTTAAAACCAGGCAGCCTTTCCCAGAAGTGTGATAAAAAATAATTTAAGGGTGCCTGGGTGGCCTAGTCATATTAAGTGTCCGACTCTTGGTTTCAGCTCAGGTTGTGATTGTGGTCAGAGATGGAGCCCTGCATCAGGCTCTGTGCTCAGTAGGGAGTCAAGTGCTTAAGTTTCTCTAAAATAAATGAATCAAAGAATTAAAAATCCTCTCTCTCCTTCACCCCACAAAAAGCAGCTGGTGGAAGACCATTCCTCTCTTCATAAGAGAATGTGAGAGATGGAGGGGACATCGAATCTTCCTGCCAAGTGACTTAAGTTGCTATGTGAAGGGACAATTTTCTGCCTTAAAAATCTTTTACGTCTCTTAAATGCTCATTCAGAATATTCTGTTGAAATGCATCTTCTAGTATGAAAATCTTATTTAGACTTCTGGCCATGTGTCCATCTCTGTAAAAAAACGTTAGGTAAGCTTTCTAAAGATCAAGAGAAAACTTATTACAAAAAGGCAGTTCTTTTTGTCCATATGCAGAGATACTCCATCAGCCGTGAAGTCTCCTGTATTAGAAGTTTATGAAGAAGCAGGAAGTTGAATTCTGATGTGGATTTTTTTAAAAAGATGATTTGACAGGGAGAGAAAGAACACAAGTAGGGGGAGCCTGGCAGAGGGAGAAGCAGACTTCGTGCCGAGCAGGGAGCCCAACTCAGGCTCCATCCCAGGGCCTGAGCTGAAGGCAGCTGCTTAACTTGAGCCACCCAGGTACCCTTGATGTGGATGTTTGCCGTCAGCAGGTAGTCCTGGACGGTGTTTCCAGATCTAAAAGGGGTGGGGGGAGGATAAAGGGCGGCAGCAGCTACCTATAGACACAAGGAGCGAGTGTTTCTTGAGTCAGGGAGAAATAACATAAACCCCAACCTGAGAATGGGGTTTGAGAATGGAAGCAATTTCCTCAAACATTAACAGGAATGCTTGATTTTTTTTTTTTTTTAATAGCACTTTGGGTAATTCAGTCCCTTTTTTTTTTTTTTTTTAAAGACCAGATGGGGTAGATCTGCTTACTTTTTGTGTTCTCATGTTGATTATTCTCGGGGCATGGTTTTTTCTTTTTAAAGAATGTTTATTTATTTGAGAGAGAGAGAGAGAGAGAGAGAGAGAGGCGCAGAAACACAGGCAGAAAGAGAAGCAGGCTCAATGCAGGGAGCCCAATGTGGGACTTGATCCTGGGACTCTAGGATCATGCCCTGGGGGCCGAAGGCAGGCACTAAACCCCTGAGCCATGCAGACCAGGGTAAGGGGCACAGGAGGCTGCTGTTAGCAGATGAGCCTGGACATCACTGAGTGCATAACCCTTGAGCATGGCTTCCCCTAGCAGTACCTTGGTACCCCTCTCCACCCCTTCTACAGAACTTGTCTGCTTCCAGGTAAGTTATTATGGGGGCCTTTTTGGGTCCCCACTGGGTGTGGGGGAATGCTAAAGTATGGTCCATGGACCAAGGCTGGTCTGTGAGGAGTACAGAAAATGAGCATTTAAAAGCTGTGACTGTAATCTGACAGTGCTGTAACACCCAAGCCCGATTCTGTAGTCTACATAAGCATCTGTCTACTGCACACTGGGGGGTAAAACTGCCCCTCTCAGATACCACACTGCCTGGGAGCTTGGGCCACCTGGCAGCAAACAGGCCTTGCTTAGATGCTGCCAGACCTGGGTTCAAACACAGTGAGAGCACTTTCTAGAAGCATGACCTTGCACAAGCACTTTACCTTTCTGCATCCAGATTTCCTTCTCAGGAAATGAGGATAATCGTAATGGATCAGCTATAGCAGGGGCCAGAGCAAGCAGCGTACAGTTCTCATGCAGGGCAAGCTCTGAGCATCTTCACACATTCACTCACCACTCTGGAGAGACCTCTGCAAGGAGTCTTGCCACCACCCCCATTTTACAGTTGAGGGGACCAAAGCACAGGGAAGTAACACAGTTGAGGTCGCACAGCCCTAAGCAGCAGAGTCGTGAGTCAAACTGGCAGTCTGACTTTGGCTTTGAGCTCCAACCCACTTCGGAGTGATGTGGATAAGATGAGCAATGTGCCCATGTGAGCGGCTCCACCCAGTGACTGTTGTCCATCTGCTGGTGTCCCCCAGATTAGGTGAACCCATCCTGCAGAGCCCAGTCACGGTCACATTGCTGAGACGCTTGCTTGATGCTGCCCTACCCCTGCCCAGGATGGGATCAGCATGCTGGTGAGAATCTGGGGTCTGCTGTCAGGCCTTTGGAGACACAGACTGCCGGGCACCTCCTCTGGGCCAGCCCTGGGCACCACCTTCCCACTGCCTTCCTGGCTCATATGACAGAGGATTTACAGGTTCTGGGAAGTAGAAGGCAGGGTCAGAAAAGGTTTCAGCCTTAGTTTACCCAGGTTCATTACACAGGTAAGATGAATAATTCAGTGGTTTCTCAAATTTTCAAAGCAGTGTGTATGCGTGCACACACACATACTCAATCCCAGATAATATCCTTTACAGGATCCCAAAATACAGACTAGGTCTGGGACAGGAGGAGGGTGGAAGACCCGCAGCTGCCTTTCCAGACTTCTGACAGGGCCCCTGCCCTGCCAGGTCCTAAGGTGAAAATCACAGGCCTCTGAGGAACAGTCTGAAAAGTTATCTTCAAAAATCTTTCAAAATTAATATCCAACACTCTTTGAAGTTGTAAGATCAAGAGGCTGGAGACAAACTGGAAATCAGCCTCATGTAGAAAAGTCGACATTTTAGGAGAACTTGATTGCTAAGTATGAAGGACGTACATACATAAAGTGGAGACACTCATAGCTCTGACATCCTGAACCTTTGGAGGACTCCGTTTCCTTACTTGTGAACTGAAGGCAGCAAATTAGGTCACTTCTCAGGGTTTCTTCCAAGTAAAATACTTGTGCTTTTCTATGGTTCTGTGAGCTGTCTTTTCTGGAAATTCACAGGGATGAAAGAGACACCCATCCACTTGGAAATGGGTGAGCAACTGGCAAGTGGCCCGGTCCAGTGGGACCCACCTGTAAGCAGAGAGGCAGCCAGCACGGCACCAGGATGAAAAGTCTCATGAAGCTGCAGGACAATGAGAGGCAGTGGGATTGGGTGTGTCTGAAGGGTAGCCACACCGACCCTGCAGTGACAGAGGCTAGGAACACCTGCACACTCACGGCCAGCAACCCCGAGACATGCTCAGAGGGCTGGGTGGGGAGCAAACCTTCTCTGACAAGGTTCAGTTGAAGAGCACCTCTCCTGATGGGGCACATACACACAATCTTCACTTTGGAAGAGCAGACACCATCGTGAGATTCCACATCACTGTGAGAATGATTTTATGGCTATTATATTCTCTTAACATTATCAAATCGGATAGCTTTCATTCCAAAGCTTAAAAAGGTGAACTAAGAAAATATATTTTTTAGTGACACTGTTAATGACCAAAGTAAAAGGAACATCCAAGTTCACAAGAGCGACCTATGCAGAGTTTTGTTAGGGGTGTAGATGAAACTGTAAGGGTGAACATCCAGTACAAATAAGAATATAATACTTGGGGCATGATGTCTTACACCTAAATTTCAATGTTTTAAGATTCTCAGGAGGGAACCCACATGTTCCCATGTGTATCTGGTGCTTTGGTATAAGGAATGTTCCAAATCCATGGCCGATCTGGGGGGAAAAGACAGATAAACCACATTATATAATACTTATTTAAACAGGATTACAAAAAATTCACTTACCCGATAGGATAAAACCACCCATGTGTTGGAGTCTACAAATTGTTAACCCCCCACTTATCTAAAGTTTTAGGACAGTGAGCGTGCACATGTGCACAGGGGAGGGAGAGAATGAACCTCAAGCTGCCTCTGCACTGAGCCCAGAGCCCAACATGTGGCTCAATCTCATGATCTGAGATCATGACGCGAGCCAAAACCAAGAGTCAGACGCTGAATTGCACCACCCAGGTGCCTGTTAAAACCTTTTCTGAACCCACTCCAGACAATTGCCCATTTCAAACAGTAGCTATTGACAAAGGTTCACGCTGAGATGTGGGCAAGTAAAACATGGAAGCAGGCCAGCAGAAACCAGGCCTTACATCCTGAATTGCCACTTAAATTTACCAGTCACTTTCCCTGTCTCAGCCTCAGTTTTCTTTTTTTTTTTTTTAATTTTTTATTTATGATAGTCACAGAGAGAGAGAGAGAGAGAGAGGCAGAGAGAGAGAGAGAGAGAGAGAGGCAGAGACACAGGCAGAGGGAGAAGCAGGCTCCATGCACCGGGAGCCCGATGTGGGATTCGATCCTGGGTCTCTAGGACCGCGCCCTGGGCCAAAGGCAAGCGCCAAACCGCTGCGCCACCCAGGGATCCCAGCCTCAGTTTTCTTATCTGTACCTGCTCTGTGGCACTGTCAGGAGGGTTGAGATAAAGGCATGTAGTGCCTGAGAGCATCCAGCAGAGAAAGAAACTCAAAAAGGGCAGCTATTCTTATCTTCTTTTACAAAGCTGGAGAAACCAACACATGTAACATATGGCACAGTGCTCTCAGCTGGCCACGGTCACATATAACCAAGAGGCCCAGGGTCACATCCATGAAATGCTGTTCCATTCCTTAGGGCTAATAATTGATGAGGCATAAAGGTCTCTGTACAATGACCATAGACCAATGTTGAAGAAAGTGACATGCTTTGGTAGGACACAGAAAGAACCCTGAAGACCTAGGTGGGATCCTGCCCTCATCCGTCTCTGCACCGTAGTGGGGAAGCACTGGGATCTTTGCCTCAGGTTCCTCATCCGTGAAATGGGCATTAGCTACATAAGCAACCCTCTGGGGATGACTGTGAAACAAAGGACAGCACACCTGTGGAAGTTCCTGGCATGTTTTAGGTGCTCAATAAATGTACTTTCCCCTTTTTTAACGGGTGTTTCAGAAACTGAAAAAAAAATCTGAACAAATCACTTTTACCAAGCATCACTAACTGCTAGAGTCAAATCAATTCTAAAGAACCATACTAGTATAAGTAGGGTGTAAATACATTGCTAGAGTTGAGAGTCAGTCCCCACATAATTGTCCTGATAAGTAGGAGAGTTATGACGACTCTGAAGGGTTGGCAGCTTACAGTAAAGCAGCCACTGAGCAGGTGTGCTGAGAGGTACCATCCTTGGAAGCTGCTGCTCAGCATGGCCAGCCTGCTCTTGGGGGAAGTGGTCTCTGCTTTCTGAACAGAGGCAGGTAGTGGCTCAGACAGTGGCCTGGCAAACGACCAGAGGCTCTCCTGACAGTTCATGGTGTTGATTAATGGTAGTGTAAAGCACACAAATGGCAGCACCCGGCAGGGACGTGCAGGGAAAGAATGCCAAGGATGGCAACAAGTTAGCAGAACACTGTTGTCTTTGGCTTTGAGATGGTGTGAAAGCCTGAAACCACACACTTTGTTAAACAAGATTTGAGAGAGTGCCATAATCCTGGGCCTGTGTGACATGCGTGCTTCATAAAAGGTTAAAGGTTTGGCATTGTTGAAGACTCCCCACAGCTATCTGCTGGCCTTAACAAAGCCCTTGCTCTCTTCTCCTGGGAACACCATCTTGTGCAGCTGGACTTCTCCCAGCATTTTCTGTAAACTGCTATTGGGTAGCATGAGCTCTATTTCATCACCAAAGCAGAGGATAACCCTGACCCTTGTTATATGAGTAGCTATTTGATTCTTCACCAAGGCAGGGTTTGTGATGCAAACATCTGCCAGTAACTTTGAGACCACCATTGCATTTATTCCTCTCCCACACAATTAGCCAACAATGACCAAGTAACTACTCTATTGGCAAATCCCTGGATACTATGCTCGATAAATGAGCAAATATCTATACCTATGCCCAGTCATTTGCCACGCTGGCTCAAAGGTTCACACTACCTTGGGAGACAGACACAAAAAGGTTAACAGGAAGGTGAGAAGAGGTGGTTGTGACTCTGTAGTCTTTACCAGAAATCAACCACTCCTTGGCTTAGATGAGGCCTGCTTTAAGCAATCCTCATAAATCGTCCCATGAAAGAAAAACTTGCCTCATAAGATAGTCCTGCATATATATGATGGTTAGATGCCAGGTAGGCTGCTAGATAAAGCTGAGGTCCCTCTCAGTGTACAGTCCAGTGCGGCAGAGAGATGAACTTTACTACATCAGCGGGAGGGGACCCAAACCTGGCTGACATGATGCATTTGGCGCATTTCCCCAGAGTTCACCTCCAGGGAGCTTGTTTCAGTGGGTCTAGGCTGGGGCCTGGCATTACTCATTCTTACCAAGTTCTAACAGTGATCTTAACACAATCAGAGTTTGGGATCAGAGGCTAACTGGGATGAAAAGCTTTTTCCTGAAATACAATGGAAGGATTTAAAACAGGAGTGTGACATGATGAGAGGTACAAGGCAGCAGTGGAGAGGATGCCCAATGGGAGGGGACCAAACCAAGGAGATGATACCAGTGCACTAGGTGAGGCAGTGAAGCCAACAGTAAGGCCACAGCCGGAAGCCTGGGGATGTTTCATCTCTGTGTATTTCCTGTCTGTCCCTGTGGTCAATTGAATGTGTGCATCCTGCATTTCTAACTCTACAACTGAGCTGTCTGTGGGGAGGTGATACAGTGTGACCGTAAAGGGGACATGGACAGGGCAGACAAGCCTGCCCATGGGGCCCTGACCAAGTTGACCTGAGTGCTTACCTTCCTAAGTTTGCAAAGTAGGGGCTAGATCAGCACCAGTATTGTGGGGGTAGTGAGGACTCAATAATCAATAAATTCATGTTAAGTGCTCATAGGAGGTCCTCGCATGTAATAAGTACTTAATGAGTGCTAGCTACTGTAATATTATAATTAGCACCACCATCAACCACAGCGGGTGAGGACTGTCATCATCCTATATGCCGTGTAGCTCCTCAGGTTTTTTCACAGCCAGACAAACCCAAGTACAATATCCTGTTCTACATAGCCAGGAAATAAGCTCTTTCCTCTAATCCTCTAAGAAGTGGCCCTTGCGTTAAAGAGTTAGGACTCTACCCCCTTGTCCAAACACCCACCCACACACACACTTCTCCGCTGTCTTCAGGGGAACTTAATATCTTACCTATAGAAGCCACTGTCCGTCACCTAAGCAATCACCTTTAATTCTTTCCTTGTCTCAGGCACAGACTGTGTATGTTTGTGTGTGCTCTGTGGTTTGATCCCAAAGAGTTTTTTTTTTTTTTTTTTTTTTAAGATTTTATTTATTTATTCACAGCAGACACACAGGCAGACGGAGAAGCAGGCTCCATGCAGGGAGCCCGACATGGGACACGATCCTGGGTCTCCAGGATCAGGCCCTGGGATGAAGGCGGCGATAAACTGCTGAGCTACCTGGGCTGCCCCAAAGACGAGGTTTCTGATGCCATTTTACTTTAGCCTACTCTTAAATCAACAAATGTATGAAAGACTTGCCAGCTTGCAATACAAAGGAAAGCTCCAAAATATTTTACACTGGGTTACTGACCTAACAGAGATGCAATCTTTGGTAATTATGATACTAGTGTTATCTGAAACCCATTAACATTCTTTTCTGTGAGGATCTCCCATATTAATGTGTGACTAAAAAAAAGCACAAGAGAACCACCTATCCAGTGGGAAGAAGAATAATTTAAATTGTTAAAAACCAAGTACTGACTTCAATACAATCTGATAAAATTACTTTTTTACTTTGATAATTCTAGATTTCCTATAAGTTTCTCTTTACAAAGTAATTTTAAAAGCTAAGCTGGAAGTATGGTGTCAGGCTTCTATTTGTATTATGAAACAAAACCAGATTTTATTAAAGGAGAATGATCAAAATGTCTAGAAACCTTTTGTTTTTCCATAAAAAAATTCCCCTCATTTCTAAAGATCTTTCAAAAATAGGTCCTTGAAAATTAAGCATTATCAATAGTGATTTTTTTTTTAATTTTTTTTTAATTTTTATTTATGATAGTCACACAGAATGAGAGAGAGAGGCAGAGACACAGGCAGAGGGAGAAGCAGGCTCCATGCACCGGGAGCCCGACGTGGGATTCGATCCCGGGTCTCCAGGATCGTGCCCTGGGCCAAAGGCAGGCGCCAAACCGCTGCGCCACCCAGGGATCCCTCAATAGTGATTTTAAGTGGGGCTCAGTGGATGGCTCAGGGCATGATCCTGGGGTCCTGGGATTGAGTCCCACATCTGGCTCCCTGCAGGGAGCCTGCCTCTCTCTGGTCTCTCATGAATAAATAAATAAAATTTAAAAAAAAAATAATGATTTTAAATGACCTCTTCTGCATTTTCTTTGGATTAGAAAATTGAATCAGCTTCCTGTTTCCCTTACAAAACTGCTTTATGAATCTGGTCTCTACTATTTAGCAATAATTCTGACAGGTCTGGGCTGAAGTTTATTCCTATACTATCTAAATTCAAGGAATTATTTCAAATGAATCAAGCAGTAGGGGGGATGGTTAAACTATCTGGGAACCAATGGTTTAAAGCACTTAGAGGATTATATACACTATATACATGCTAACTCTACATCATGCATCTCATGTGCCAAGCAGGTTTTAATGACCTCTCCTACTGAGCAATTACATAGACAGCTAATTAGCTTAGTTCTAGACACTTAAAACTTAAATTCTGAAATAATTTAAACCTG